GCTACTCAGCTGGGTGCAAGGAGTTCATTCTCTCTTGCACCGAAGTCACTGAAAATCCTGCCGCAACTGAGGCTCACTCAACTGCTCTCTCTTTTGCCTTTCTCCCCCTCCTCGTTTCTTTACTTCTCTTCTTACAGGAGGGATACTTTTTCCAGGGTTGCAATCGTACAGAGTCACAGCAAGGTCGGGGTTGGAAGGGACCTCTGGAGATCTAGTCCAGCCCCGCTGCTAGAGCAGGATCACCTCAAGGCCATCACATGGGAACATATCCCAGCAGGTTTTGAAAGTTTCCAGTCTCTCTGGGCAGCCTGTTCCAGTAAAGAAATATTTCCTTACACCTAGGTTGAACCTACTGTTCTCAACTTTGTGACCATTGCCTCTTGTCTTGTGACTGGACACCACTGGGAAGAGTCTGGCCCCATCCTCCTGATACCCACCAGCCCTCCTGACCTCGAAAAGTTCTAATTACAATCATATTATTTAAATTATCTGGCACAATCATCTCGATTGTACTGTCCCTTTTTAAGTGTGTTGACTACAAGTGCAAATAGAAGGCATAGAGCAAGAGTCTGACAAGTATTGAAAATATAATTAATCAAAGGTAGTTTAAGGACAGGTTGAATGAGTGTAGCACCAGAGACACCTTCCAAGAAGTGCAAAAGGGTAAATTTGTAGAACTACAACAAACAGTGCATGAGATGACTCTTATATGCAATTACTAGTCTCTTTACATGCAAAGTTAGCAGTCTTGTTAAATTATTGTTAACAATAATCCATGAGAACACTGGTGCCAGTACATTATTGACAGTATACATTATAATAATCTTAAGACTTGTGAGTGGTACCTGACTTCCAGATCTAAAAAAAAGAAAACAAACCCCACAGATTTCAATGGTTTATTTTGCTACTACTTATTTTACTACTTTGCTTTCTAAAAAAGTTAATTTGCATTTAAAATATCAGCAAAAATCTCGGTTAGAACACTTTTTCTTTTGAAATTAATTATTAAAGGGCTCTTCAATATGTCTCTAAATTAGTTGACAACATGACAGACACTCTTTTTTTCCCCACCCACGGTGTTAAATTGCAACTCATTTTCTTCCTTACAAAGATGATAAAACTCAAGAAAAAGTCATCAACTGTATGTCCAGAGCAGATCAACAGAATGAACAAAAATCAGATGGTGATCACAAATCTGTTACCAGCTCATTCGGTCAAAGGCCAGAAGAAAAGAGTGGCTGTATCAGGTACAATATATTCATTGTTTGTTGATGTCTTTATTTAAATCCTGACATCACTGAAGTCAACAGGAGTTTTGCCATTCTGCATGTTAGTGCAGGAGAACAATTTTGAAGATGAACTTGAGAATAATTGATAAATCAGGAATTAGTGATATTTCCAGCATATGTACAGCATTTTTTTCATGGCCACAGTAGCAAACCACATGCTGACTACATGATGCAATCTGTTTAATGGGTCTGCAGGACAATTGTGCAACCTCTCATGGGAGTCATTTGTCAGTAGATGTGGCCATTTCTCAGCATCAGTTCAGACAATGCATTGTATTAATTCTTCACAGTGTAAATACTACAGTTGACAAGATAATTTTTAGCAGAGGAAATCCAGTGGTACCTCAGACAATTGATAATAAGACCCATCTCCTTCGTAAGCTGCAGCTTGAATTTTGGCCCAGCCTAAACCACCATACGCTGCAACGCCTGCTCGTTAATAGTTGTGAAATGGGATTATTCTTGTGTTATCTGTGATTAAGCACAGGGCAAACAACTAATGAAATTAAAAAACACATTTGGCACTATTTAGTAACATTATTCAAAGTCTGATCATGTGGGCTCCCTGCTCAGTCCCTCTTGCCAGTCCTCTGCCCCCGTGCCCTTCAGCTGTAGCCCACGGCTTCCCTGAGTAGCCTTTTCTTACTTGTCACTTGCATAAATACAAAAAGAAGTAGAGCTGAACATTAAGTAGGTATTATGCATTTTCTTACTGTGGCATTCCTAGCCAGTATATTAAAACTGTCTTGAGTGCTATTCCGGAGCCAGCATTTCCTTAAAATGTTGAGTTAATAACTTGATTTTTCTAGTCTGAGAGAATGTTGCTTATTGGCTGTGCCACCAAAGGTCCTGCACCAAAGCAGCAAGGAATGGAGGAAAGGACTGGAGAGGAAAGAGCCAGGATTTAAGATCAAATCATACTACTCTTTTCCAAAAAGATGGACTCTGTAATTCCCTGCTCGCTTTCACAGAATCACAGAATTGTTGAGGCTGGAAAAGACCTCTGAGATCATCAAGTCCAGCCTACATTTCCTCTCTGTTTCTAGCAGAACAGCCTGGTAACTCACTTCAAACCAGTAGAAATGGAAAGCTACTCTAAAAAACCCTACAGCTTTTTTATTTGGAGTACAGCTTTGAAAGCTATAGCCGTTTCTCTTGCATAAATGAGCTATTAATTATTTTGAATTGGAATCTGTTCTGAAAGCAAAGATTTCAGAATGTGTACTGAAATACATTTTGTTTTGCCTCTGCTTCCTCTTCTTATTTTAGAATGACGAAAAAGGTTCTGAAAGACATCTGCAAACAGCAGAAATTATACATGACCCCATACTTAAATGATACGCTTTACTTGCATTATAAAGGTAAGATGTGGACATGGCTGTTCAGATTTATCATTCTAAGTAGGATTTTAGCAGAGAATCCAGCTTATGGCTCGCTGAAGTATCTCGTAATTCATTTAAACAGGAAACATAATTTTACATAATAATGAAATTGTGAAACAAAATGAGTCAATATGAAGGTAGAAAAGTGAATTGATTGTAGATCTAATTCACTTTGTGGAGGCATACAAAGGGTCAATAGATATCAAGGGATACTTTTCGGTTTTTCCAAAACAGTAGCCTCTGAGAAAGGTCTTAAAATACCGGTCTGGGTTGCATTCAGCGGAAAAATATGTGTATTTCTTCTTAAATGTGTTTGTCTAAAGAAGCTGTTTACCAGCTTTGGGGCCATTTTTACTGCCCGATAAAATGGTCAGGAAAAAAACAAACAGTAAACACTTACTGTAAGTTCTCAAATACTACTGAAAGGAAAAGAAGTTGCTAGAATGAACGCAGATCAGCCTCTTTGTGATCTTTGAGTGGGTTTTTGCAAGACAGGCTTAGGCGGTTCAGGTTAGCATAAGAATTGTTTTAAATCCATAGGACACGCTAAACCTGCCTTCGATGCTTTGGCTCTGGTTTTGCTGTTTTCTCAATGTGTGTTATTTGAGAACCTAAAGGGCTGCACAAGGTATAGCCCAGAAAAGGTACCTATATGATTTTCTCCTTTGTGGCCAAGTACTGTGGCATTGATTCAGTGGAAATATTGCCACTAGTTTGAATACTGAAGTTGTTGCGGGCTGTTTCAGCAGTGCGGGTTTAATGACACTGACTTGTTTTCAGTCAATGCAATTTCATTTTAAAACATCTTTTTCTGTAGGATTCGACCGCCTGGAGAACCTTGACGAGTATACTGGATTGAAGTGTTTATGGCTGGAATGCAACGGCTTAACAAAAATCGAGAATTTGGAGGCCCAGACAGAGTTGCGTTGCCTCTACTTGCAACTCAATTTAATTAGCAAAATTGAAAACCTTGAACCCTTACAAAAGCTGAATTCCCTCAATATCAGCAACAACTACATTAAGACCGTTGAGAATCTCTGTAAGAGCTGTTAATGCAACATATTTTAACCTGTAACAAACTCATACTCCTAAGCTTTGACTAAGCTAAGCTATTACTAGTGACACTAGTTTCAAGGATATTTTTATTCACATTCAAATTTGGCACAACGTCCGCACCAAAGTCCTCAAGGCTTCTATTGCAGAGTCAAGCCTATGTATTTTGCAATTTAAGTAGATGAGAAAACAGAAAAGACATTGTAATTACTCCTACTTGGATATTAGAAAATTAAGTAGTTTTTCCTCACTTAATACTGTCTCAGCACTTTGTGTTGCAGACAGGCTGACAATCCAGGTTTCACCTGCAGTGTGCTTTGGCAGCCGCAGACGTGATTACCACATCTTTTATGTCTGTTAAAGGATTTATTCCATCTTCAGCAGAAAATAAAAAAGAATTCTTCTGCGGTATTGCTTGGATACATTGAGAGTAATTTGAGACACGAGCTCTTGCTTTTGTCTAACTGGCTACTTTGAAACCTGAATTAAAAACCACCACCATCCTAAAACCAAACAACTGTTTGGCCCAGGGTGAGGGAAGCAGCTTCGGAGGCCTAGCCAAAAAGTGTGTGTAACGGAAGAACAAATTTAGCAAAAAAAAGCTCCCAATTCAATACAAACAATTATTTTGACGCCACAGTTTTCTACTTGCTCCAGAAAAGCCTCTGTGAAGCAATGAGTCTTACCTTTCCTTCCATTGCTCTGTTCTTGTCCGACAGCTTGTCTCAAAGTCCTGCAGACTCTGCAGATTGCTCACAATAAGTTACAAACGGTGGAAGACATCCAGCACTTGCAAGAATGCCCAAGTATTTCTGTTCTCGATCTTTCCCACAACAATCTAAGGGACCCAAGTATTGTAACTGTTCTGGAGGCCATGCCTAATTTGGTAAGCAGGATAGAGCTGGGGGTTTGTGTCACGTACGTGGGTGAATCCCTTAAATGGTTTTGTTGTGTAGTTAGGGCACAACACGTCGTGGTGTTCAAAGAAATGTTAGTAGATGTGGTTTGGGTGGCTTTTTTGTAGATTACTTGTAACACCCCAGATGTTTTAATCACTTCTTTGTTTTGAAATGACAGAGAAAGTACATATCCAGATTGGGATTTTTTTTTTTGCTTCTCAGCTTTAAAAATTGTTTTCCTTCTTTTGCCAGCATGTGCTGAATTTGATGGGAAACCAAGTGATAAAGGAAATTGCTAATTATAGAAAAACACTTACTGTTCGACTAAAACTACTAACATATCTGGATGACAGACCAGTCTTCCCAAGGGATAGGTAAGAATCGGAGCCATCTTTACACAAATGCTAATGCTCACTCACCCATTTTTTGGAAGGAAAGGAAGACTGACCAGTATAATTTATTAAAGATGGGTGACTTTGAGTACAAGATGATTATATTATGGAGTTCTACATCTAATACACCTAGGAAAAAGCCATTTTTTTTTTCCACAAGAGAAATAATTTTTGAACAATTTTGCTTTATACTGAGTCTATAAAGCAGAGGCAAATCCCAATTTCAAGAGAGACCGAAGAGCTGTCTGGAAAAGCAGAGCCAAGTTCAGCATCCCTGGCAGATCTCTGGTGGTGTAAGTGCCAGCATTTGGAGATCTTTGTTCCACATGCAAGATAAGATCTGCGTGTATCCCTATTGCATAAGGGATTGTCACTGCTATATGCTTTTTTACTTTTCTCTCTCATTCTAAAGATGTTTTTTTATAGCTACGTTACAGTGAGCTTTCATGTTTTTGTTAGGGCCTGTGCAGAAGCCTGGGCTGTTGGAGGGCTTGAAGCTGAAAAAGCAGAAAGGGAAAAATGGGAAACCAGAGAGAGAAAAAAAATCCAAGATAGCATCGATGCTTTAGCAGCAATCAGGCAAAAAGCAGAGGATAATAAAAGACAAAGGTATATGGAAGGAAGAGATGCAAGTGCAAAATGTGGAAATGGAGATGTAAGAGACATCCTAGAAGGTTTGTGGTAACTATTTTGAAAAATATTTGTGTCTACTTCCCGTTGAATGTTTAAAATAAATGGATAGTTCCTAAATGTTCAGAAGCAGGCTGATGCAGTTTTTGGAATATATTTATGAATCTTCTTTTCCCATGCTCAGTTAATCTTGGTACATCTTAGATCAACCATAACGATTTTAAGCAAACATCGCCTTTCTCACTGCTGGTGAAACAGAAAAACAAGGAACCATTTTCTGTCCCAGTGCTTCAAGCTCTCTTGGTCTTCACCAGAGCAACTGGGTGCGAGGCAGGGCAGTAAAGGTTCCCGAGTGGAGGCACCAGGTACGCCCCAAAATGAGAACAGGGCTGCTTCAGTGGGCACGCGGGCACCAGTAAGACCCAGTGATAACCACCTCACCAGTCTCCGCCGCTGCGTTCACTAACCATAAGAGCTTCGGCAGCGGTAACACAGGCAGCAAGAGCAGCGTCTTTAATCATTACTTTAATCACTTGCTGCCCTCTTTTATGCCACAAATTCTCCTGTCACGTTATTCAAGGAGACATACGTTTACGACCAGTTATTACCTAACCTGCCTAGAGAATTTTCAGGATAAACAGGACTGAAGCCGAATTAGAAGGCAGTACGACACCGCGGGGGAGTGTTAATTGATCTGATACGGTTTGGGGTTTCACAGGCTCTGCAATCAAATGTGGCTGACTGACAAGTTAAACCTGCGAGCAGGTGGATTGCTTAAAGGAGAGGATAACTTCAGCATTTCTCTTGGATCCACCAAAATGCCCAAGCACATACATAAATTTGTAGTCACTCGTGAGTCTTTTCAAAGTCAGCTGTAGATACCAGACACTTATTTACTAGAGTGTTCTCTCTAGATGAGTTGTGGTTTTTTTTTCTGGGGAACTGTATTTCGCTGGGGAGTTGAGATGGGCAAACCCACAACATTGCTGCAATCCGCAAATAGCTGCTCAAACAAAGTAGGAGCTGTTGATGCATATTTTAGGCTAAAATATTAAGACCATTAAGACCATTAACTCAGCAGTTTTAATTAACTTGTTTCTTCTGTAGGAGGACCTGCAAATTCAGATGCCCATGCTGGAAATTCCAATACCTCTGAGACTGCAAATACATCAGAAGAAGAAACTCAAAAAACTGAGAAATTTGGAAATGAAAGTTTTGATGCTCATGAGGAAGTGATAACACTTCTACCAAATAGGGGAGATAATGCAGGTTTTATACCTGGAAATATTCCTGCTAGAAGTCAAGAGGATGCGCAAGAATCAAACTCTGACAAATGCTCAAACTTCAACAGGAAGACAGAGGGTAATGTACACAGTGAAGGATCAGACCAAACCGAGGATGCAGAGAGGATGAGCCAAAGCCTGACTTAGCGTAGCACTGCCTCTGCTGCGATTCAGACCGTCTGATTTGTAGATGAGAACATCCCATTACATTTCCGTAGCGACTAGTTGAAAATAAAGTAACACTGGATGAAATATTCTTTAAGGGAAACAAACAAACAATCCCGAGGGCTCAAACTGCAACCACTTAGCAGGCAGAATTCCACTTCTCCTACATGCCAGGTTTAGTGACAGGACAGGAGAGCTTACACACTTACCTGGCTCCCCCATAAACTGTTTGTCTGCCAGCAGATCCTGGGTATCAGTCTAGACGTGGTTTTTGTGCCTTCGCGTGTGGAAGGATCTTTTGTAGATTTGTGGAATGTGTTGTTGCCAGATGCAAATACTAATTTATACAATCGAAAGGAGACCAAGAATATGATAGGAAAACAAACTGGATTCAACTGTGAATTCTGCGGTGGTGGTCAGGTCCCCGACAGTTTGGTTTTCCAGTGCTTGCTGTTACAATATAGAAAATCTTTTATTCCGTTAGTTCTCTGCAACTGACTATTGTTTAATTCTTTAGATATACCAAGAGAGAAGGCGACTACTGAAAAGGCCATGCTTCCTGAACTGGCTGAATATGCTGAAACCAAGCAGACCAAACTGGAGACACCAGGGAAACTTTACCTTGATGTATGTATCAGATTCAGATTTTGAGAAGCGCAGATTTGGGTATTGTCCACTCCCAAATTAATTCCTGACTTATAAAACTATGTGGCTAGGTTTCTAAGAAAGTTCCACTAGTAGAAAAAGTAAAAGGAAAAAAAGAAAAAACCCAAGAGGTAAAGTTCTCTCCAGTGTAGCATGTGTAAAGAATTTAGCGCCGCTTCCAAAGTTTATTGTGTCCTTTGTCCATAAATCACCTGAAGCTGACCTTCTGTCTCTGGAAAAGTTAGAGGGCTCTCATTTAAAACACAGAAAGTACAGCATAAAGAATCTAGTGGATAAATGCATGCTCTTAGGCAAAACTCAAATGAAATACATAGTTGAAAATGTGAACTATTGCAGAAAAAGCGTCAGGAAGAAACAGCCACCCACTCTGTGTTAGCTAGCAGTATTAGATATTATGAATTAATTCCCAAAATACAACTTCCAGGTATATTTCCAAGAAAAAGAGAATGTGCGTTATTCAGGTATATAATAAGCAATTGACATTTGTAATATTGTCTTCTATTAGCTACGATTTCTGTCTGATGACACAAACACTTAAACACGTTTAACCACATTTAACCAGCACAATCTCACTTCAAAGGAGAGTCGTTTCGTATGTCCTAATTATGACACTGCTGCTAAACTGACACTGTCACACTATGACTGCAATACCTCCTGAGCTGATGATTTCCCAGAGCACTCAATACACTCTTTGATCCCTTATACTGACACTGTGAACTAAATTCTTACTGGAATGTTTTTAAAAAGTCCCTCATATCACTTCCGTGCTCGTAATTTCACAGGAAAAGATTCCATCCTGTTATCGAAGGGCTCAAGATACTGTTTCCACAGAGGGCTTACTGATGCGTCCTCCTGTTTGGCTGTTTTACTAATAGCTTTACCAAGGGTAGTGGTGTGACCTGGCAGCAAATCCAAGCACGCACAATGTTGTTTTTATAACTTGGCAGGGTCTGAAATAAAGGCTTTAAATAAATAGCAATACTGTAGGTACCTACAATGTGATGACCTCACAGATTCGGCGTTGTTTTGTTTCTTGGTGCTGTACGGCATAATAGGAAGCTCCTATGCACAGACTTAAGTTCCTCTTATGCTAGAGAAATTCCTCGACATGTGTGCGCGGGGTTTCTTCTGACACGTAGAAAGCGTGACTATTCTAATTCTACAGGAAGAACCCAAATCCCACACTAATCCACATTTCAGTGCTCTGTGCTGCTTTGTTCTCCAGCTGGCACTCAGTACCAGAAAGAGCTTCTCCCAATAACCTCCAGTACTTACGCTAATGCAGATTTTCCAGTGAGACTTAGTGCTGACATTGCAGGGAATGGCTGTGAAGATGCCATCTGGAGAAGCTCTGGAGCAGCCCCGTCGTCTTTGTTCATATCCTGGAGTCCGTAGATGGTCTCAGCTGTGATATATAAGGGAGCAGAGCGGAGGAGGATCCGTCATGTGGTGGTTATGACATCCCTCCATCAAGCAGAAACAAGATCCTGTTGCTGCACGTGCCTTGGCAGTGTTTGAACTGCATTCTGTGTACATGAAGTTGAGATTAAGCATAGTAGAAAATTGTGTTTGGTCTGGCATTAAGGTTATTGACTTCTCATCTGCTGTTTCTGGAGACAGGTGAATTTTCCTTTTCCCATGCTTAACAGAGCATATCAGAGAAGGTGACAGCACTGGCTGCGACCTCTAAAAAGCATTGAGGAAGGTTCCCTGTGAGGTAGCGATGTCATATCCAAATAGAGATGTTATAACCAAATCTGGTTCCAGTAGCTTTTCTCACCGATTAATGATCTTGTGATTGTCTTCAGGAACTGCCTGATTTAGAAGATATAGATGTAAGTGAATTTCCTCCAGAAGAAGAAATCTTTGTTCAAAAGGTAAGAATCTTATGTGATGAAACTCCCCTAAACACATTTACAAATGTTTTGCAAACTGAGGAAAATCTCAGTTGTGAAATATTGTGGGAGGTGCAGCCAGTTATGCTTTTATAAAGTAAAATGGTTGTTTCAGCAGATCTCTATCCACTCATAAATAACTTTTTTAATTTGCTTTTTTATAACATTGCATTGCCAAACCAGGAGAATAAAACCCTAAGATCAAGTAATGAAAAAGTTAAGCAAGGTTAATTTCTTAGTAGCACGTAGTGTTTTAATGAAGATTACTCTTAAAATGCATTTTACCAGCACTAATATGCTGCAAAGGACTGAATGGATAGAACAAATTGCCTGCTACTGAATAAAACCAGACTTCTCAACTGAAAACACAGATTGATCAGAACTCTTCTGCAGGCTTGTCAGAGACAAGGCAGTTCATGCCCACGTTAGCATTATGCTGTGCTAAAAACTGACCCACTAGGCAAAAGCCTGTAAGTAGAATTTAAAAAAAAGAGAGAAAAAGAAGACAACAAAGCTTAAATCACAGCTTTGATTCTCACGCTGATGTTGGCTGATGTTGTTGGAGACAGAGGCAATGCAGTGCGTGTTCTCACAAGTCCCCCCCAGATAATGCAAGCTTTTCCTACACTCAGGGACAGGCACGGAATTTATGTGCTCTTTTGGTGATAGACTCATAACAGTGTTGCAAAATGTCTTGGCCAACAAAGCCGCTAATTAAAAGAAGATGAGGGAAGGGAACAAAGAGGATTATTGATATCGTATATGTGAGCAGCTCTCACGCTCTGAAGGGCTTTCAGTTCTTAACTGAAGTCCCATCAAGATGTTATCCTGCTCCCTCTAGTTGAAGATAAAGTAATAGAACTGAGCCCACACATTGCTGAATTAAGTTGTCTTTTTATGAACCACTAACAGTTTATGGTCAGTTCCTAGCTAATGCCTGAGGAATAGCTAACCCAAGATTCATCCACGAAGAAGCAGAGCTATGGGTGAAGCACACACGTTTTGGGAGAACAGCACATCAAAGCTGACAGCTCTTAGGTGGATCCAGGAGATATTTACCCTTCTGCTAGCTTTTACATTTAGAATAATAGATTTTCAATTTTATTTTCTTCCTTTACAGCAGGAA